ATGTATTGGTATATGTATATGTATATGTATATGTATATGTATATGTATATGTATATGTATATGTATCTATATATGTATATGTATATGTATATGTATATATATATATATATAAAATAAATGTATCGGTCACAGTGTATCTAGATCTCTGAATTGGATGACGATTCACAAAAATACCCTCTACTAGTAGAGTTCATATATTTTTTTAAATACCCGAGTTCATACTAAAATGGCAATCGCTGTACCCTGTCCAACACAAGACTGGGTGCATGCACCTGGCCAACCCTCTTCTGTGCCTACTTTCCAAACAGTATTTTGGAATGGAGACTCAGTTGTCTTTCATCCGGCATAGAAATCCTTTCGCCTTACCCTTGCTACATATACTTCCACTTTTAATACCTTATAATCAACTACGAGTTACCAGCTGTTCCGCGCCTGGACTGTATATACGCTCACCCTCTATAATATTTAATATTGACAAAAAAACACAGTTTCACACCCGCTGTCTCTACTACAGGAGTTTGTATGCATTTCACGACCGCTAATTAGACATTAGGCAGAAGTATTTAGGCATATATATGCTAAAACCACTCGCATATATAATGTTTTGATATCCAAATATTAAAAAGGGCATCAACTTTCTTCCTTTTTTTTATCGTTGAACGAGGTGGTCTGTCGTAGAAAAGTTGAAGGGCCTGCGCTTCACACGCCTTACAGTCACTATGGTTTCATTTTGAAGCAAGGACATTAAGTGTACGTAAAATCGAGTCAGAAAATCCAGACGATATGGTTTAGAATTTCCAGCGAATCGCACCAGACAATAGACACGGCCCTCACCTTCAGTATTATTGTGAGCCTGTCAATTGGTAGTGCATACGCGAACCACTTAATATTTATACACAGATATAAGCATTTTCAACCATTGAACTAATTCGCTGGTGTATGCTACTATTTACCTGTCTTACAACCAATACCTGTCAGCGCATAGGCCAATGGTACATTCAGGCAGCAATATTGCAATTGGTTAAAAGATCAATTTAGTCTCTGGTCTATTTAACTACAGTAATACTAGTCAGATCGCTTTATAACATAAAACTTCTGTTGGACATTAAATAATTGCTATTAAACATCAATCGGTGGCTTCAATACTACTGCTTGATTCTCGAGTAGAGCTTACGTAAACGACTAAACGTTCACAAACATGATTTTCAAACGATGCATACTACACAGGATATATTGTATCTAATATATGATCATGCATTTAAATTTAAAAGTACCGTCGTCCGCGGACGCGGCATACATATTTTAACACTAAATACATAGAAAACTGGGTTCATTGCCTTTTATTTATGTTTACTACATTCCAAGAGACCTAAAAGTCTATGTATTTGTTCTTGTTGAAAAATAAACACCCCCAAAAAACACACCCCAAAAATATCACTATCTCCTGTCTATGTAGGCTATTGCTTGTCGCCCCTTTGTTTGTCGCCCCTTTGTTTCTCTCTCTCCCCTCTCTCTTGTTGTGTATAAAGTTGTAAGCGTGTAGCTTTGTGTAGAATGTAGGGTTGTATGCTGAGGGTAGCTTTCTACCAAACCCAACGCAAAAGCGCGCGCCAAAAACTGGAGTTGATCAATTCTGGGGTTACGTGTCGTGTAAATACGAATTAAATATCTAAATATAAATATATGTATATATATTATATCCACCTAATCTCTCAAGTGCAAATATACAAGTAGTTCGCATGCGTATATCTGGCGGGTGTACTAATAAGCGTGGTTTCGTTACAAGTCTTCCGTCTATAACGCATGGGCGTGAGCTTCATTGGATGTGATTCTGCTTCACTTAGACGTTCAGGGACGCTCCAAGGCAATACATGGATAGCAGTCGTCGACTGCATTACCACAAAGGCAGACACATGTTCACATGCAAGACAACCTGCATATTCTCGCATACGTCTATCATATAGTTTATTGTGTATATACAGCAGTCAATAAATTACACCAGCGCACTTAGTAATAGTGACGATATCTTAATATACACTCGAATCTTTAAGGCTACATACGTATTACACCGCCAAGATGTCGATGATCGATATGATACAGATCCAGGGGATCAGAAGTGTGAGTCCAGAGGAGCCCATCACCATCAAGTTTCATACACCGCTGACAATGATAGTTGGGCAGAATGGTACTGGGAAGACCACTATTATTGAATGCTTGAGGTATGTATACAGGGACTATATTGTTTGTGGATTTGTATGCATACTATAACATGTACACCTTATTTATATTATTACACTTTGCCATTTATAACCTATATATGGATATTTTGGCATATATGACTTGTTTGTATCTCTACTTTGACGTGGAAAACTTATTTATATGCATATCATGACATGTATAACCTATTAACAGGCATACTTTGACATATAGCCTTTATGTATACACGTAAGTGTGGGTCCTGATCCGACAGAGGGATTACTTGCTGTTCGCATCCGGCCACTTCGATTGCCACATTTTTCTATTTATAGTACCATAGGCGCAACACATATTTGAGGATAATAAAATATTTGTAACATCGCGTTGTCGGTTTTTTGCGGGATGTATACTCAACGCTAGTAAATAAGAAGTCTATATGTATTATGGTTCAGTGTTCTGACGGCAGTTTTATTGGTAAAGTTGTCGCTATACACGTTCACAGTTCTAATTGATTGTGATATGATCAAAACATATATTTACAGTCGTATACTTTGCAAATGCGTGATTTGGCATGCCTTTCCCGTCAAGCAGATTCGTTTATCTAGCTAGGATAGTGTGACCGCCTTTAATGAATGAAGGAGTTGTGCTTGATATATACTCAGCTCGATAGTCGTATATGCGAGCTTTTCAACAGGTGTAGGGATTGAAAATATGTATCTATATTGTATTAATATCGTATATATCTATGTACGGCTACAACGGTGCTGATGAGACCGCCATCACCGCAGGTATGATGTATACCGCATACTTTTATATAGATACATAATCGTTTGTGTATATATGTATAGTATTAAGTATACATATCTATGTGTACGATGATGTGCTAAGCTGACAATGGTACGAGGTTGGCAATGTACTATTACACCACCTACACTGATGCACTCAGGTGTGGCGTAGGTTCTTAGTTAGCTGCTTCAATCGTATGGGAAGTTATAAGTCTTGTCCGAAGTCTTCGTGTATCTCTGCTGTTTTCGTGCAATGTTAAGCGAAATGAGACAGTCTGGCTGGAGCGTGGAACAAGAAGTGACGCGAACATGATATATCTCAAATAGCTACGAGGATACACCAATCCACATTAGAACTGCAACCGCTCAATTTTTATCAAATAATGAAACTATCTATTGCCATTCAAACACTCCATTTAAAGTACTTTGTCAACTATCAAGACATGGGAAACGTTACTGATATGCTGCGAGCACTCAGTTTTGGCGTAGAAATAGTATGCGCGAGTCGCGTGATGATGAGAATACTTGAACAATCATTGAGACGAATAGACCGACAAGGGGACATAGATGACATTCTGTGAGAGAATACGATGGTAGCTTTCCGCTTGCGTTGCTAATGGCCAGACAGGCACCAACAAAGGCTAAGGACCATACAGTAAAAGTATCACATGTGAAGAATAGGCCGAGTCTAAATACACCAAATATAATTTGGTAGACAAAAAGCAGATAGCCCTTGACACGCATTCAATGGGAAAAAATACAATGCAGCAAGTCAGCCCCACTGTAAATATTAAGGGTACCACTGTTTGACTGAACTCAGCGTGATCATAAAACAGAGGAAGTATAAGTTGAGACAGATACACCAAATATAATTCAGCAGATGTGGTACATAGGAATAGTTGACGTTGCGTGCACGTCAAGAATGTACGACCTTTATATGTGCTAGGAGTTAAGAGCACTTAGAGACAAGCCTAACTATATCCATACAGTCAAGTATGACATACAAATCCTCTAAGAAACACTACGACAAAATGGACATCTTCATATTCAGATACGCTGCCACGGGACAATTTCCGCCAAACACAAACAAGGGCCAAGCCTTTGTGCACGATCCGAAACTCTCGGACAAGTCGGTGGTCAAAGCAGCGGTTAGGCTACGGTTTAGGAACACCGTGGGGCAGGTCATGATGTGTAGGCGAGTCATGCAACTCACGGCCAAGCCAAAGAGCATGCAGCTGAAGACGTTGGATAGCACCATTCAGGTGTGTGCGAGGATTTGAGATGGGTGTTATTATATTTGGATCAATATGGATAGCTAAATGCGTCATTTATATGTTACTGCTGTCGTCAGACTGCGGTTTAGGAACACCGTGGGGCAGGTCATGACGTCCAGGCGAGTCATGCAACTCACGGTCAAGCCGAAGGGCAAGCAGCTGAATGGGATGGATAGTACCATTCAACTGTGTGTGAGAGAGGATTTATAATGCGTGTTTTTATATTAGCATGGAGTAGTAGGCATGTATATATGTGCCTTGTATCTGTCACTGTTGTGTATAAGATGCTATTTAGGAACACAGTGGTGCTGATAATGACTTTCAGGCAAGTAATACAACTTCCGGCCAAACCAAAGGGCCCTCAGCTGAAGACATCGAATAGCTCGATTCGAGTGTGTTCGAGCATTTACAACTGATTATAGTGTATGTTTAAACATAGATCGATATGCATTTACAAATGTGCCTTTATCTGTCATTGCTATGGATAAATACCGGCTTTGGAACACGGTTGGGCAGTTTGGGACGTGTAGGCAGATTTTGAATAGATGATTGTCTTTTGTTTCTAATTTCTATTGTGTTAACCCATTGTTTCATATTACGGTCCGAATTGGCAAGATAAGTTGTCTAGACGAATACTGACGGTCATGGCTATTCACCTGCCAAACTATTGTTTTTGTATGTTTTCCGCATCTATTCTGGACTCAAATCTACCTTACACATTTCGAAACATTCCTAATATATATATTGATAGTTGAGAGGTGAAAACGGCGAACGAGTGGATATGGGCCGCACTTGTGCGGATTTGGATGTCACCATGGCACAAAATCTGGGGGTCTCTCAGGCGGTTTTGGACTATGTCATCTTCTGCCATCAGGAGAATTCCAATTGGTATGTCTATGTATTTGGTGAATTTATGTTAGCAAAACGGGTAATGAATCTCTATGTATTAGTCCGAGAATTTGCAAAGTCAGTGTGTGCCGTCGAACTATTGTTATACTCTAAATTCATATGCATGTATGACAAAATGTATGCGTGTTGATGGTCCGATTACTGTTATACTCTAAATTCATATACATGTATGCAAACATGCATACATGTTAATGCAATGTATCAATATACAACTTATATGTATCTATATATACATATATCGATGAAACATATATATGACGGTACTTGATGATTCCTAGTCTGCAATTTTGATGAGGTGTATTTCTGTGTAAAGAATTGTTTGTCATAACTAGTACAAGATATCAACTCACAGAGATCTTTGTTTCTATTGCGAAAAGGCTTGAAATCGGCCGTGTATATTGATGAGCAGATCCTCTATTCTTCATTCTGTCACTCATATAATGCTATTCTTGACCGTCGTTTATAGATATCATCATGTGCTGGCAGGAGAGTGTATGTGTGTGCTGATTAAATTATGCACACACTTGTCGACTAACATATTGTCCGTGATCTTGTATTCATATCAGAACACACCATATTTCATGTTTTGTGAT